CTGGGTGGCTCAGTCATTAAACGTCTGCCTTCAGCTCAGGTTGTGGTCCCAGGATCCTGGAATCAAGCCCCACATCGGGCTCCCTGCTCAGCAGGAAGCCTCCTTCTCCCTCTCCCACTCCCCCTGTTTGTGTTCCTGCTCTCGCTGTCTCTTTCTCTCTGTGAAATAAATAAATAAAATCTTTAAAAAATAAATAAATAAATACTATCAGGGCGCCTGGCTGGCTCAGCTGGTGGAGCGTACAACTCTTGATCTTAGGGTTGTGAGTTTGAGCCCCACGTTGTAGACATTACTTAAAAATAAAGTCTTTAAAAAATAAAAATAAATACTACTAAAGAACTCCTGTACATTGTTGGTGGAATGTAAAATGGTGTAGCTGCCAAGGAAGAGTCTGATGGTTCTTCAAATAAATAAACACAGAATTACATGTTATCCAGCAATTCTATTCAGGGTATATACCCAAAAGAACTGAAAATAGTCTCAAAGGGACATTTGTACACCCAGGTTCATAGCAGCATTATTCATAATAGCCATGAGATAGAAGTAACCCAAGTATCCATTGATGGTATATTGCATAAATAAAATGTGTTATATACGTACAATATTATTCAGCCTTAAGAAGGAATGAAATTTTAACATAGGCTACAATATGGGTAAGTCTTGAGGACAGGACAGTATGCCAAGTGAAATAAACCAGTCGCAAAAAGGCAAATACTGTATGCTTCCACTCTCTACCATAGTCAAATTCATAGAAACAGAAAACAGAATGGTGGCTGGGGGAAGGGGAACATGGGGAGTTATTATTTAATGGTTATAGAATTTCAACTTTGCAAGATGAAAAAGTTCTGGAGATTTCACTGCACAACATGAATATACTTAACACTACTGGACTATCCTTTAGAAGGTTAAGGTAGTGAATTTTTTTTTTTTTTTAAAGATTTTATTTATTTATTTGAGACAGAGAGAATGAGAGAGAGAGAGCACATGAGAGGGGGGAGGGTCAGAGGCAGAAGCAGGCTCCCTGCCGAGCAGGGAGCCCGATGCGGGACTCGATCCAGGGACTCCAGGATCATGACCTGAGCCGAAGGCAGTCGCTTAGCCAACTGAGCCACCCAGGCGCCCCTAAGGTAGTGAATTTTATGTTATGTATATTTAACCACCATTTTTAAAGATTTATTTTTTATTTCTGGGGGGAGGGGCAGAGGGAGAGGGAGAGAGAGAATCTCAAGCAGACTCCCCACTGAGCAGGGAGCCCGACACGGGGCTTGATCTCACAACCCTGAGATCATGACCTGAGGCGAAATCAAGAGTTGGATGCCCAACTGACTGAGCCACCCAGACGCCCCTAACCACAACTTTTTTTAAATGTTCAGATTTAGGGACACCTGGCTGGCTCAGTCAGTAGAACGTGTGACTCTTGCTTTTGGGGGTGTAAGTTTGAGCCCCATGTTGGGTGTAGAGATTATTTAAAAATAAAATCTTAAAAAAAATGTTTGTGTTTATATGTCCCCCCCCAAAAAAAACCCCTACTAAAATAGTCAAATCTCTCTTCTAAGAACAGTTTCAGGAGTACATAATGTATCTTGTCTCCTTTCCCTTACCATAAGGGATGTTTCTACTAAAGTACCTGAAGCAATGTGTCCAAAACCAAGCTAACCCTTTCCCCACAAAACTCACTCTCCTTTCTCATCTTAAGCCAAAAATCCAGTCATTCTCAATTCCTTGCTCTACCTCTTTCCTACCCAGTGCAACCCATGACAATCTCCTTTGATTTTGTTCCCTAAAACTCTTCTGACGCATCCCCTTCTATTTCCAACATTATTGCCCCAGTGTTCCCCATCATCAACCTCTCCCTGGCCTATTGCTTGCTCCTTCCGAAAGGAACTTACTTATTTACACACACATACACAAACACAAACACATACACTCCTGGCAATCCAGCCACACTGGCTCTCTTTGTTTAGATGATTGAGAGTGTCCTAGTCTTTCCAGCCTCAGGACCTTTGTATATGCTCTTTTTCATCACACTCCCTGCACCTACGTTTACTCATCTCCTGGATGAGACATTATTGTTTCCTTCATTAAGTCTTCTTTACTTCTAACCTCCCAGTCTATTATACTCTCTTAGGACCTTATAGCTCTCCTTTACAGTGATTATGATTAAACAAATACTGAGTCATTAATGGTTATCAACTGTCTCTCCTGCTGGCTATAAGCTCTATGAGAGCAGACAGGGTCCATGTCTCTTTATTGGTTGATACACATTCAGCCCTGCAAAGGGTTGGGCAAAATTAATAAACAGGATTAATCCAAGTTTGGTTTTCAAGATAAAAATGGCTTAAATTCTGGAGCCCTATAAGAACTAGTAACCATGCCCTCTCTTTCCCTTCCCAAATTCAGTGAGCTTTCCAGAACATTACTTCCAACACAAAAGAATCCTGTCCTGCAGACAGGACTCGAAATGCAATGCTTGTATCATTCATTTACTTATTGGAACATGTCCTGGCATAAAGCTATGCACAAATATGAGTAAAACCAAATAGCTGCATTTAAAATATTTCCACTCTGGCGAAGCTAGAATATGCTGTATTTTCCTGTTAAAACAACAACAACCAAAAACCCTATGCTTTAACACAGGTTCTAGAAGAACACTGGATTCAAAGCCTGGCTCCACCACTTACCAGCTGTGTAACCTGGCCACCTAACCTCTCTGTGCCTCAGTTTCCTTATTAGTAAGATGGGGCTAATAACGATACCTACCTCATGGGGTCATGAGACAAACAAGTTAATACATATAAAATACTTAACATAGTGTCTAGTACACAGAACGGCTCAACATCCATTATCGAAAATCATACATCCTCCACAGCAAGGCTTAGACCTCTATTCTTTCTGGCAGCACACCACAGGTAAGATGGCTAGCCAGATAGGTCATGTCTGTGGCATGCACTCAACACTTAGACTCATTTAAAACTTCCCTGGTGGGGGCACCTGGGTGGCTCAGTCGGTTAAGCGATTGCCTTCGGCTCAGGTCATGATCCTGGAGTCCCGGATCGAGTCCCGCATCGGGCTCCCTGCTCGGCGGGGAGTCTGCTTCTCCTCCCTCTGACCCTCCTCCCTCTCCTGCTCTCTGTCTCTCGTTCTCTCTCTCTCAAATAAATAAAATCTTTAAAAAAAAAAAAAACAAAACTTCCCTGGTGTATCAACAAAGCTAAGACTGCATGTGAGAAACAGGAGTTCTGTGGTAATGAGGTAATCGTCTTTAGCATTCTCTGGTTTAACAAACTTTTGTAGGCGACATGTATTTTCCAAAGTAATACAAGTTCATATTTTTAAAAGTGTATGATGTATGAAACACTAAGTTACATGGCTGCTTTTGTCAAATGGCATACCTTCTCCACAAAAACAGTTGAAATCGTTGTTACTTCCTACTGACCTTACTGCTTTTTAATTAAATTTCTGCATTTTTTTCATACTGCATATTTCATATGCATATTTATAAGAGGTAAGAATTATGAATAAACAACAAATGCAACAGATCTCTAAAAATCGCCACAAAAGCATTTGTCCTTCTTGGAATGTTAAGAGCTGACATTCTGGGGCGCCTGGGTGGCTCAGATGGTTAAGCGCCTGCCTTCGGCTCAGGCCATGATCTCCAGGGTCCTGGGATCCAGCCCCAGGTCCAGGCTCCCTGCTCAGCGTGGAGTCTGCTTCTCACTATCCCTCTGCCTCTCCCTTTGCTTGTGCTCTCTCTCTCAAATGAATAAATTTTAAAAATCTTAAAAAAAAAAAGGAGCTGACATTCTGTGTATCAAAAATTACACTGAAAAGTTTTAACATGTGAATAACAATGGTATAGTTTCACTAACACAAAAGAGTACTTTGTATTGAAATACGACCCCAGTGCAGTATCTTCATAACCTTTAGTCGACACCAATAAAGTATTTTTAAAATTGTATTGGGCAAGTACTACATAACAGGCACTGTTCTAAAGATGTATTGGACATAGATAAACATAGTCTTGGCCCTCCAGGAACTTAGTTTAGCAGAAGAATCCTATGCAAATATTGCCCTACTGTGCTATTCATAACAGACCATAACACCGGGCCCATGAGGCCGAAAGGAAAGTCAGCTGATTCTACTGGAAATGGATCAGGGAAGATTTTAGAAAGAACCCTTGAACTAAGCCCTGAAAGATGAGCAAAAATTCTTCAGTGAGATAGAGGGCAATGGCAGTACCCACAGAAGGAACTGCAGGCTGGATGCAAATATGGGAAGCCGTGAAACATCGTGGTGTACTGGGGTCCTGTAATTCTGTGCAACTAGAATGCAAGACTTGGGTAGGAGGGGGGCAGACGGAGCTGGAGACTATAAATAGAGGCTGACTTACAGATGTTCCAATAGGAGTTTGTATGTTACCCTACAAAGAAGCGACGCCACTGAAAAATCCTTGTCAGGGTAATGATGTGATCGGTTTACACACTTCAATCGTTTAGGACTCTACGACTCCCGTGAGACGGTTATCCCTAGCTGAGGGTCCTCACTCGCGGGGCCCCTGGATTCGCCCCCTTCTCCCAGTTTGCTGTTACCCCACCCGCCGTGCGATCCCGCCTCCCGCGGAGCGCCCCTGTAGTCCGACTTTGGCAGCACTTCCCCGCAGGAGACTGGACACTCGCTGTCACCCGCAGGCCGTCCCCTCAACGTGGCATCTGAGCATCCTTTCGGAGGCTGACAGATCTGAGCTTCGGCTTTGGGCTCTGCCCCTACTCGTGTGACCGCGGTGTGACTGCCTCAGTTTCCTTCCTGGAGCTGGGGAAGGCCCGGCCCCCTGGCCATTAGGCGGCTGTGCGTTAAGTGGTAGACGCCGGGGGAGAGCCGGCGAGGGGCGGACCCCAGCGCCCACAGTGACGGGGGCGCGCGCCGCCGGCTCCGCCCGAAGACTCAAGGCGGCGGGCGAGCGGGGTAAGCCGGGCCGTGGGCGGGAGGGCGGGGCGGCTCACCGGTAAAAAGCAGAATCCCCGAGCGGGTTCCAGTTCGCCGTGTAGCAGTCCATGGCTGGTGCAGGCGGCGGCTGGGCAGCGCCGAAGGGACACCCGCCTAGCACGGGCTCCGGGCCGGCACTTCCGCTTCCGCCCGTCCGGGTCACGTGGCGAGGATGCCGCCACGGCCATCACCACTGTGGGCAGCTGCACTCGGCCGCCGCCGCGCCCCCGCCCACACCCGGGCCTCGTGCCCGCCCGGGTGGGCCCGGCCCGGGCCCCTGCCCCCCGCCGCGGCCGCCCCCGCCGCCTTCCTGTCTCCTCGGGCGCCGGGGGTCGCGCAGGGCGGGACATGGGTGACCGGAAGTGGAAGCTGTGAGCGTCGCCGCCCGGGGCTCCGAGGCCCGAGGCGCCGTCGGGGCCGCCGCGACGCACGCATGGAGAGCGCTGGGCTCCGGGCTGCGCACCGACGGCTAACCGGGACGCACGGGTTCCGCCGGGCGCGGGCTGTGCAGAACCGACTGGCCTCCCGGGGCGCGGGAACATGAGGCTAGGCCCGGAGCCCCCAGAGGGCGAGGCGCGCGGTGCGCGGGCCTGCCCCGGGCGTGGGTGAACGGTGCGGAGCCCCGGGACTCGGTAATTGGCGCTAGCGGGCGCGCGCATGCGCGGGGCGGCGGCGGGCACGTGGCGAGGCGCAGGGCGGCGCCGCGCGGGAAGCGCCTCGGTGACCTGGTGGCCCGCGGGCTGGCGACCCCCCGCCTCTGGTGCCAAGTGGGACCGAGGCAAGGCGCCACCATGGGTCCCACTGTGCCGCCGCCACCTCGCTTCCGTAGCCCTGAGCAGCCCGGGAGGGGCCGGCGCAGGTCTCATTTATCCCGGGGCGGGCCCTGGGGCCGACCTGTCCTGAGTCCCCGCCCGCGCACGGCTTAGTGGCCTCTCCCCGCAGCCCGTCATTGGCAGCGGCGGCATGGTCTTCTGTCTGGAGAACGAGGAGCCGCGCCTCTCCCTGCGAAGCGCCATGGTCCACTTCCAGGCCTCGGAAGTCCAGCAGCTGCTACACAACAAGTTCGTGGTCATCTTGGGGGACTCAAGTGAGTGCCCCTCTAGGTTCACACTACCCAGCCCCGCATCTTCAGTCTGTTTTCTATGACTGGACCCTTTGTCACCATCCCAAATCTCTTTTCTGACCCCTAGTCTCTTCCAGTCCAGTAGGTGTTCTGTTTTTTATTTCCCCATGCAATCTTCCACAGGTGTCTGACCGATGTAGTCTGTCACATTTTTTACCCCATCCTTGCTCAGCATTTTCCTCCCTGACAGTCTCCCATACTTTCCTTCATGGGAGCAGTGGATTGTGTTGTCTGTCTCCTGGGTGACTTGGCCGACTTACTTCTGCCAGGTGATTGGGCCACTGTGTACTAAGTTGGGGGTGGTGCACCGCCAGAGGCAGAGGTAGTACCAGGATTTTTTTAACCTCACCTTTTCTCCTGCCTCTGTAATGAGCTCCACAGAGGTGGTGTTGGGCAGCCCCAGCCTTGGGAAGATGGGAGGCCTGGACTTAGGAGGAGCTAGGGTGGGGTGAGGCTTGTTTAGCCTCAGGATCTCTGTCTCCCTGCAGTCCAGCGGGCTGTGTACAAGGACCTGGTGCTCTTGCTCCAGAGGGACTCACTGCTCACAGCCGCCCAGTTGAAAGCCAAGGTGAGGGAAGCTTGGTAGCCACGCCAGTGGTGGGTGGGCACAGACCCTGGCCTGGCAGGGTCTTCCTCCCTGGCATGGGTCTGACCAGCTGGGTGGGGGGGTGGGCAGGGGGAGCTGAGCTTTGAACAGGACCAGCTGGTGGCTGGGGGTCAGCTGGGCGAGCTACACAACGGGACGCAGTACCGGGAGGTCCGCCAGTTCTGCTCGGGTTCTGGCCACCACCTTGTGCGCTTCTACTTCCTCACCCGCGTTTACTCCGAGTACCTCGAGGGCGTCCTGGAGGAGCTGACATATGGGCCTGCCCCGGACCTGGTGATCATCAACTCCTGCCTCTGGGATCTCTCCAGGTTGGGGCGGGGGGAGAGGGAAATACTGGTTGGGGGTGGAGGTATGGCTCAGAGGCTATCCACCCTGTGCTCTTGCCCACCCTATGTGCTGTCCGACAGGTATGGCCGCTGCTCGATGGAGAGCTACCGGGAGAACCTGGAGCGGGTGTTTGTGCGCATGGACCAGGTGTTGCCAGATTCGTGCCTGCTGGTGTGGAACATGGCCATGCCCTTGGGGGAGCGTGTCACTGGGGGTTTCCTTCTGCCAGAGGCAAGTGACTGAGGCCCTTCAGGATGGGGGAGGAGGCAGCTGACTGGTAGACAGAGAGCCTTCCCTCCCGACCCTGCTTCATTGTGCGGCTCTTAGATGCTGCACTTTCTTACTCAGCTCCAGCCCCTGGCAGGGTCTCTGCGGCGGGATGTGGTTGAAGGGAACTTCTACAGTGCAACACTGGCCGGGGACCACTGCTTTGATGTCCTCGACCTCCACTTTCATTTTCGGCATGCGGTACAGCACCGTCACCGGGACGGTGTCCACTGGGACCAACACGCACACCGCCACCTCTCACACTTGCTTCTGACCCACGTGGCCGACGCCTGGGGCGTGGAGCTTCCCAAGCGTGACTATCCGTCTGGTGAGCCCTACCACAAGGGAGTAGGAGAGTGATGCAGAGGGGGTTCTTAGAGCATAGGGCTCAGAAACAGAATAGGACAGAGTACTCAGGGAGTAGAGGCCTCTTGAAGGATTGTTGTGGCTCCTGAGTGCACCTTTCTCATCCCCTGGGGAGGGTGAGATCACGGAAGCAACATTTTGACCCAAGTTCTGGTTCCATATGGTCTAGCATATAGTCATCTCTGTACGTGAGTTCATGTAAGCTTTGAGCACGTAAGGCAGCGTGTCAAAAGATCCCTATCCCACAGATGAATAGGGAAGAAATGGGGGGACTTCTAGCTAGGCATGGGGGTAGGAGGGTGGAAAGACGGAAATGGAGGAAGGGCAGTCATTCGATGTTGCAGAAGCAAAGAAACCCCTCAGCTGGTGCTGTCAGGCCTCTCAGTTCTTGCTTGCTCTCAAAAGGAGTATGGTGGCTGATTGTTTCCATGTCTGCTTTCCCCCTGGATCATGTCCTCAAAGGGCGAGGTTCCTACCTTGTTGCCAGCTCATCCCTTTTGGCCTTGGTGTCTAGCACAATTGCTATGTACATGGTACCTACAGGGTAGCGTTTGTTGAGTTGGGGGCACAAGTCATGTTAGAAGGCTGTTTATAGCAGCACTAGAGGGTGTGAGGACACAGAGGCCAGGAATGTCACGGAGGTAAACTAGGACTTGGTAGCCAGGAGTCGGAGCCTTGAGGAGGTGGATTAGGACTTTGATTATATAATGGTTGGGTTTCCTTGTTTTTTAGATGAGAACTAATCCCCAGCGAAGAGAGGGGTGCTCTAATGGTTGTAAGGCTAGTTTGTGGTGGCTTAGGTCTTCTGAACTCAGTTTGGAGGTCCAGAAATAGGGATGTGAAAAGGAAGAGTGAGGTGGGAGGATGTGACTGGTGAGTTTGGTTCAGGCAGACCTCTGAGGTGCTGTGTGTTGTGAGACCCACAACATGACAGGGTCTCGTGGTGTCTAGAGAGAAGACTTCTTAGGCTCATTTGTTGGTCTGTGGGGAGGAACTAGGAGAGGAAAAAGCTACAGATACAGGAACCGGGCATACAAAGGGAGAAGGCTCTAGAGGGGAGCATGAGGTCAGAGCAAAGGCAGATCTGTGACTTTGAGAAAGGCAAGGAAGAAGAAACATACCCTGGGCTTGGCCTGAAATGAGAGAGAATGAGGAAGATGGGGTAGGAAGCAGAGGGTGCCCCCGCCTGGTGGCCTTTTTCTCCAATAGGAGGGAAGAGAGGTTTAAGAGTGTGGACAACCAGAATTTTGGGTGGCCTGGCTCTCAGGCCTAAAACAAACAACCATCCCGTTCTTAGACCCGTGGATTGAGGACTGGCGAGAGCCGGATCATCTGTTCCAGGGGAGCCATGGGCAGCCCCCAGACTTCGGGGAGCAGCTGGCCTTGCCCCCACCCCAGCTCTCTCCCCTGCCCCCTCCCATGCCTTTCCCCTACCCCATTCCTCAGCCCTCGCCACCTCCCTTGTTTCCACCCCTGCCCCAGGACACCCCTTTTTTCCCAGGCCAGCCCTTCCCACCCCACGAATTCTTCAATTATAATTCAACAGAAGACTTCTCGATGTCATCCCACTTAGGTAGGTGCCTCCGCAGTCTCCCCTCCCACCTCTCCCAGCCTCCCTATGCACCTTCCCCAGCCTAGCCTCCTGTGCCCAGGTGGACTGAGAGGAGTTGGGTAGCTCCTTGTGCCCCCAGGATTGGGTTCAGTCACTGCTGGATCTACAACAACATCTGTAGACTCGTTAATCAACTCTTTGATTGTCATAATTTGCTGATTTGGAGGTAGGGGAAGTGGTGTTGCCATTTTGTAGATGGGGAAACAGAAGCCCAGAGAAGCTCACCCTGGAGGATTAAAGCTGCCCGGAGGCAGAGCTGGGCTCACCTGGTCAGAAGCCCGCTCTCTGATAATGGCTGGTTCTTTTGTAGGATGTGGCCCTGGAGTGAACTTTGTGCCTGGCCCCCTGCCACCTCCAGTCCCTGGCCCTATCCCCCATGGTCAGCACCGGGGCCCAGTGGTCCACCGGGGAATGCCACGCTGTGCTCCCAACAGCCCCTACCACGTGCCGAGGATGGGGGGGCCCTGCAGGCAGCGGCTCAGACACTCAGACAGACTGATCCACACAAACAAACTGGACAGACAGCCTCCTGCCCATTCGGGGACATGGCCTGGGTAGACTGGATCTTGGACTGGGGCTGGATGTGCCAGTGGCCCTACAGGGCCTGCTTGCCACCCCCAGTGCTGGGTCAGGGTGTCTGTTATGCCTGGCATTGTTCTTGTCCATTGCTGTCACTAATAAAGGCATGGAAGAACAGAGTGGCATCTTCCTGTGTGAGGGGATGGGTTTCCCAAACCATGATCTGAAGAGTTGGGGAGCTACCTCTGGGCCCTCTCCAGCCTTGGCCCTTTCACCTCATACTATTTAAAAATCATTGAATGTGTCCTTCCTGCTATCTCACACACTCATTTCCACCC